TAGGAGTCATTATGGAAAGTCATTGTGGAGTTACTTAAATACAGCATGATTAAGCTGGGCTACGTGGGCAATGGGGACATAGCTCAGTTGGTGGAGCTGTGTGTTCATGAAGCCCTAGGATTGGTCCTCAGCACCACATAAACCAGGTGTGCTGGCACAGGCCTGTGATCCCAGCTCTAGAGCTGCGAGGATCAGACTTTTAAGGTAATCCTTAGCTGTGAGGCCGAAGTCAGCCTGGAATAGGGGAGATCTTGTTTAATAAATGTCCAACGAGAATTATTAGCACAGCTTTTAAAGGTTCCATATATGTAAATAGAACAATAAGGTTTCAAATTTATGAAAATCATTATTTTTCTTGAATCAATTAAATGCTGTGTATTTAACTCAACCATCCTTAAAACATTACAAAGAATATCATGTACTCATGTATTTTCATACTATCAATGGTTGAATAGTGATCATTTTTCCTCTTCCTCCTCCTCCCTCCCTTTCTCCTTCTCCCCTCTCTTTCTTCCTCCCATGTGTTTAAGCTTTCTTTTGTGTGTGTTTGTGTCTTTCTGTTTATCTGCAAGACATATCTGATTTGTGGAAGTTCCAGGAGAGCAGCTATATGCATATCAACCTTACTTTTGACGTACACCCTAGGCTGTGTATGAACTACATTGTATAATATCCCTAGATAGGCATCCCATAGGATATGTTGTATGATATCTCTAGATAGGCTTCCCATAGGACATATTATATGATTATCTCTAGATAGGCATCATGTAGGAGGTGGCTCAACAATCCATATCCTTCAACCAACTGATAATAATAAAAAGTGCTAAATTTAATTTATTTTTATTTTGCAAAATAAGTTCATCTTGCTCATTTTTTATAGCTTTTTTTTTTCTCTTTAAACTGCTATGAACCTTCCCAAGTTTTGAGGACAATGTATCTTTTTTTTTTGTAAAAGATGACAAAATATCTTTCTGAAAAAGAATCATATAATATGTGACACAATATAATACTTGTGAACTACTCATCAAATTAAACATGTGAGGTTCTTTTTAAAAGTGCGATTACATTTCCAATGTGTGCATTTGGTAAAAACTCACTGAGGACAACCTTAATGTCTGAAATTCCACCCTGAAAGCTGGGATTACAGGAGGGCTAATTGACAATGACTGAGCTAGAATCTTTGAGAATCTGTATTTCATTTCATCACCATAGCCAATTACTCAAGACGTCAAAGAAAAACTTCTCCATTCAGATGAACCATAGATAAATGCATATTGAATTTTCTTTGTTTCTTTTTTAAAGTATGGCTCCCAAGTCACTGAAGAATATAAAGAATACATGTAGGGATAAAATATAATGTTAGTCAGAGGACAGAGGATATCTCACTTCATTACTTCAAAATGAAAAGATGTTCATTTGTGTTTATGCTTACAATAATAAAAAATACATGATGCATTTTATAATATACACTTCCAAGTCCTGAAAATTAAAAATTTCAAAGCATTCTTTCTGTAACACGAATCTTAAAATGTCTTATTAATAAAAACAAACCTGGAGCCAGGTATTGGGGTGAATGCTGAAAGATCAGAGAGACAGAACAAGCCACAGGAACCTCACCTTGCCAATTCCTAAGCTGTTTGCTCAGACTGGAAGCCTCTGTGTCCTCATCCAAATGGATCTCAGCTGAACTGCTGCTAAAAGCCTAAAAGCTTAACCAGCTCTACTTCCTGGTCCTCATGTCTTAAATACTTTTTTGCTTCCTGCCACCACTTCCTGGGATTAAAGGTGTATGTCACCATGCCTGGCTGTTTCCAGTGTGGCTTTGAACTCACAGAGATCCAGACAGATCTCCACTTTTGGAATGCTAGGATTAAAAGTGTGTGTGTACCACCATTTTCTGGCCTATATGTCTATCTAGTGGCTGTTCTGTTCTCTGACCCTAGATAAGTTTATTAGGGTGCACAATATTTTGGGGAACACAGTATCACCACAAAAATCAGAAATAATTCTTTTTCCTGTAGAGAGATCCTTTGACCTCTTCTTTATCACTGAATTAGAAAACAAAACAAACAAACAAACAAACAAACAAACAAACCCTAGAATTCAGTTGTACTCAGAGCTGAAGTGGCACACTGCAGTTGTAAAGCAGTTTGTACATTTTGCAAAGTGCTTTTGGGTACTTGGGTTTTTCCTCATAGTCATCTAGCTTAACTCTTTTCCTGTGTGCACTACCTGTGTTCTATTTATATTTTTTGCTTCTTATTTGCAAAATCATTCATGTTTTCATCACATTTGTATTTCTACTGAGTCGTTTTGACTAATTTAGACTTTGTTAGGATTATGAACCAAAGTGGAAAAGCTATGAATTAGAGGACATAACAGTCACCGTGATTTACTATTCCAACTTTTGGAACTTCACATTAACTCATGGTGGTGGCCATGTTTGGCTGGGGAAAGCCATATGGCCAATGACATTGTTAAGAGGCTGCCTAAAACCATTTCACAGAAAGCTGGTAAACTACGACTTTGGGCTGTGGAGGCCACATGCTTCCTTTCTTCAGCCAAGAGAAACACAATAGCTGAGTTTCCTATAATGATTTTTAGAAACGTTTAAATGCAGGACTATATCTTCTCTCAGGAAGTCCAGGTGATAATTCAGGCACATCCCCCAGTATTCCTCTGAAAAGCATGCTTCTAGGGAACAACACCAACTTTTACTTCAGAAGGAATCGTTCCATTTATTTCGGATTCTAGCAGTAGTTGGGTGAGCCTGGTTCAGCTGGTTTCATAGCATGGGGATTTTCTTTGAAATGCCTTTCTTTGAAAGGTCCTGAAGACATTCCCCTCTTCTAAATCTCTTCCCCTGTTACAGGTTTTTCCATTGTGGGCTATTTTGGTAAGGGTATCTTTTCCTCAAAATAGTTATTCACTTAAAAAGCCTTCAAAATATTAACCAGTCGCTGAAGGTTCTTTGAAGAAAAATATGACTGTTCGTGTAAACAATTAATGGTTGTTAGGCATGGCAGCGTATATTATGACAAACAACACATGCTACATGATGCCAGCTGGTGTAATGATGTGATAATGTCTGAGTCATTAACTCTGGCACACAGTTTACGATGCCCTTCTATGACAGGATTAATTGATTCACACATACATTAAAACAAAAATAACTAAACTAAATTCAGCTGGAAGCCTGGCTCCTCGTTTGTCATAAACCCTGCCGTTGGTGGTTGCTGACACAGACCTGAGTGCTCAGTGGATTGAGGATCTCTTAGCTGACCTCACCTCTGTGAATGAGAGCAGGCACCTCTGGAAAGCACTAGAGAGCATTAAGGTATAGGCTCCTGGAGAAGAAGTCAGGCTGTGAAAACTTCTGTGTATATACCTATGACATGGAAGTAAATGTATAGGACATTTTAATAGTGAAATGGTTCACAATAGCTCTTAAAAGCAATCTCTGAAATAAAACAGCTGTTTTTTTTAAAGAGAATGTGAGAAATACATCTTAGATGCTTTTCTAAGACAATGAATTAGATGTTTGAAGAATTTCTTTCAGAAAGCTAATTCAGTGCTTTGCAGAGGTTTTATGGAATTATGAAAAGTTTGACTGATATCCAACACAGTAACAAATGGTGCTAACTTCTGTCTTCTGAAATTTTATCCAAGTATTGACTTGAGAGTGTTGGTAAGACCAGGGCTGATGGGATAGCTCAGTGGGAAAAGTGTTGGGGGTATGAGCTTGGAAACCTGAGTTTGACACCCCACATCCCACAGTGCAAGGAGGGAAGAGACTCTTTAAAGTTGGCCTCTGATTTCTACATAGACACAATGGCACGTGTATGCCCACACTCTCTCTTACACATACACAATAATAATAAATAAAATAGGAATTAAAAATAAATCTGAGTCTCTACAGTTCTTCATCTAACACCTGAGCATGCAGTACTAGTTTTATTAAACTGAGAACTCATTTGTTTTTCTGTAATATCAATGTATGGTATTCTATGAAACAATCAACTAGGAACTAAATTATTTCTTTACTAGATGGTCTTTTGTTTTGCTGGAAACCATATTCTATTTAACAATTTCTAGCTGCTTAAGTTAAGACTAAGGTGTAGAATATAAATTTCATTATGAAAGTGCTTCAGACACTTATTTATTATACTTACTGCTATTGTTAGTATTTTTGGCATGTGTGTTGGAGGTATTGAGTATCCAAGTGCTTAGTTTAGTATATTTTATGTAACATACTAAAAGATAAAATGCAATGGGAGAAAATTGATAACCTTAAAATATATGATTTCTTTGATAATTTGATATTTTTAATTTGCCACTCTTTTTCATGATCAGACTAGGCACGTCACACCTTTTCATGTTTAGTTTGACTGTTCTTCTAGCCTGATAATGTGATAACCATGTGATTGGTGAAGGGGCCTGTTTAAACAGGAGGTTCAGGACTCATCATCCTGAAAACATGTCATGAGATGAATGTTTCTGTCTTTCCTTTTCTGATTTCCAAAGTAACATTACAATAATAATTAAAAATGTTCACTCTAAAGAACTATGTTTTTTTTTTCTTTTCCACTGTTCAAAGAATTTTACTTGTCCATATTTTAAGACTCACATCTAATGGTAACAGCTTAGAAGATTCAATGAAATCATAATGAAGAAAATTAAATGTCACTTATAATTTTTATGGGGCTCAGAGGTCGTCACAATTAACATGTTGCATACTTCCCATTGGCATTATTTTATGCATATATTCTATATCTCTGAAGGCAAGACAATGAAAATATAATTTTAAACTCATTTTTCAAGATAGTTTTGTCCTAAACTTTATTTTATCAAATGTTTTATTAACTATTTCATTGACGTATGAAACATGAACAAAATTTCTGGACTTTATATTATTTTCCACTTGCGTCTATTATATGTTATACTTTTAATTATATGCTTTTACTGTTATATGTATGGTCCCTCTGTGTTTGACTTCGCAGCCCCTGTTCTGAGACTGAACTTGGCACAAAGGCAAGAGAAGTGAGTAATGGATTTGTCACAGCTGGAAGTAGACGAGAATGCAGTGAGGGTAAGACATAGTAAAGGCTGTAGGTTGCAGTAAATTGAGACTTTAACGTGTGATTCTGGCCACAGAAACACAAAAGTAAGTAGTCTGACGGCATAATAAACTATTGTAATTTTTTGGAAGTATGTTGAATACAAGACCCACAGTGTATGTTTAAACTTCACTTATTTTACAACTTCACTCTGGCCAAGTAGCCTTATAATCTCTAATAAGTAGTGAATCCCACTCCTTCAAAGATGACTAATAATCAGGACAGAATATGCAAATAAAAAGAAGTAAAATAACATATGCAAAGCAAATGAAGCATCTATAGTAAATGAGATAATTAGCAGGAACTGTGTCTGCAAATAGCAAATGCTTATAAATGTTAGACATATATCACAGAAATAGTCATCCAAAAGACAGATAATTATCTGACACACAGTTGTCCATACTCTCAAACTGAAAACTGCATGTATATTTACTTATAATATATACATTTATCCATAGCTATATATAGTCATATGTAACATTCACAAAAAAAGAGAGCATTCAAAGGAGACACAATGAAACAAAAAATATAAAACAACAAAAAGAGTTAGAATTATAAATGAAATAATGGAAGAAGTAATTAAATTAATTAATTATATAGATAAATTAAAGGAACAGTGGAAGATGAGAGTAAACACGGGTAGATGTATTGGAACTACAGAAACTTAGAATATGCACAAATATAATAATGTCATGGGCGCAAACCTGTGCACAACTGTAACTCCAGAAAAAGAGAATATGTATAAAGATGAGTGAATATGTTTTTTCTTTAAAAGAAAATATAATTGAATTTTCAAATCAAAATGGCATGTGGTGACCCAGGACAAACTGAGATCTAATGACTGATACCAAATTACTTCTTAATAAATTTACTAAACTAAGAGAATAATGAAAAAAATCATAACATTATCCTGGATGCTTTTTAAAAACCAGGGGAATAAATATGATCTATTTTCAGCAAGTAACAGTGAGCATAGCAACATCTGTGGTATTTTGAGAAAAACCAAGTATGACCAAAGAATCGTATTTCTAGCTAAATTATGTTTCAAGTTTAAACATTACAGAGGAACTATGACCAAGAGTGTAGAAACTTAGAACAATTGGGCTACTAATATAGGAAAGGAGGAAAGATACTTTTATTGAGAAAATTCAGCCAACCTAAAGATGGATGAAAATAAATAATTCAGAAAGGGATGTCATGTGGCCAATTAACTGGTGAAGAATTGTGGAAACTATGTACAAGTTCTAAAATTCGGCAACATAAAATCAAAACTCCACCTATCACTCCCCTGGGATGAAGAACAACCGTAGGTGAGCTAGACCTCAGTTCCCCGCAGCCCAGCAGGAGACACTCATGCTGTATTCCCTTGTTACAAAACAAAACCATAAACCGATATTATATAAACCATGCTTCAGGGAAGCATTTGGAAATTTAAATGCTTTGTGGTAAACATCTTAATTTCAGTTTTTTAAATTTTATTTTAAATTTTAATTGTGTGTGTATGTGAATGCACAGATGCCACGGAGTCCAGAGAATGTACCAGATGTCCTGGAGCTGGAGCCACAGAAGGTTCTGAACCCTAAGAGGTTGGTGCTGGGGACCAATCAGCAGCCCTCATATCTGAATTTCAATAAACCCTGAGTTTCACTCAATAACTTTTCCATTGAAATTCAGAGAAAATCTATTTAATTCTACCGGAATGATCACAAACATGGGTTTCTTTTGTTTCCACACTAAACTTTAGTCATCAGGCTCCTCTGCTCTCCAAGCTTAGCAAGCATTGCAGAGTAGACCCTCATCTTTGCCAGCTTCTCCCGAAAACCTGCTGATCTCAGTGAGAGCCTTTTCCTACATGACCACACCACCTGTGTTCTCTTGCTCATCCGACCTCCTCTGAAAAGTTTCTCCTACGTTTAATAATGTTTGTGTTAGCTTCCGAGGCCTGCTGAATAAGGTACAAATAAACCGGGTTGCTTAAAACAACAGTGATTTATTCTTTCAGTCGTAGACTACAGACCAGGATTCTAAAATCAAGGGGTCGGGGGGGACCATACATGCCCTGAGATTTTTGGTGCAGTCTGCCTTTCAGCATCTGGTGGTGGCTCTCAACGTTTTCTTTCTTAAGTTTTGCAGCTCTGTCACTCCAGTCTCTGATTTGATCTTTACAAGGTGTTCTGTGCAGACACCAGTTACCCCAAATTACATGATTGTCCTCCTTCTGTGTGACCTTATCTTTTTTTTTTTTTTTGGTTTTTTGAGACAGGGTTTCTCTGTGTAGCTTTGCGCCTTTCCTGGAGCTCACTTGGTAGCCCAGGCTGGCCTCGAACTCACAGAGATCCGCCTGGCTCTGCCTCCCGAGTGCTGGGATTAAAGGCGTGCGCCACCACTGCCCGGCTGTGACCTTATCTTAACTGTTTGCAATGACTATTCCTAAGGAAGGTCACATTCTGAATACAAGCCCAGAACTTCAACACATCTTTTGAAGCTATATAGTCAACCCATAGACTACATCATATCCTGTAAAAGAGAAGTTTTCTGTTTTAATTTGAGATGCCTAAAGAGTTCTGATATTGAAGCATTTTCCCTATTTTAAAAAAAAAACATAACATTTTTATTAATTCTTTGAGAATCTCATAATGCATACTATGTATGGTGATTATATTCATCCTCATTCTACCTCCTAACTCTTCTCAGATCCATCCTCCATGCTCCTTCTCCCTCCCTCTCTCTCCCCATTTGCTCATTGCCAACTGAGTTCAATGTGTGCTGCCCATGTACTCAGGTGTGAGGCCATCCACTGGAGCTTGGTTGACCTATAAGGAGCCACAACCTTAAACAAAACTGACTCTTCCTCTGCAAGAAGTTCTTACTTATCAGTAGCTTTGCAGCTAGGAGTGGAGGCTGATGAGCTTGATCCCTCTCCATGCTGGAATGTTTTCTGGCTTGGTCTTGTATGGATCTTGTATAGACAACCCCAGCTGCTGTGAGTTCATGAGAGTAGTGATTCTGTCATGTCCATGAGACACCTGCACTCTGGTCCTCCCTTACCTCTTGTTTTAATAGTCTTTTTGCCTGCTCTTTTGACTTTGCCCCTGCACTTTGGGAGAAGGGATGTGATATAGATGTAACCTTTGTTGTGAGAACTCCACTGACACTTACTCTTTCTTTACACTTTTACCACTTGTGAGTTTCTGCGTTTGCCACTACCCACTGCATGGAGGATTTTCTCTGATAACGTTCGAGAGCTCTGTCCTATGGGTACAGAGATACGTATTTAGAGGATAGTTTGATACTATGTCCATTTAACAAGATAATAATAGTAGGCTCATATGACATATGAGATCGATCCCCAACCATTGGTTTTTGGTCATATGTACACAGCCAGGCATGTGTTTCCTCCTATGAAATGGGCTTTCCATTCAGATCATTGTTGGTTACCTAATAACATCCATGCCACTATTTTGCCATGCTGCTCATTATTGTAGCATACAGGGTTCATAGGTAGGCAATTTTCTGATATGAAAGCTAACTATTGAAGAGGAAACTTTCTTGTCAGTACCAACTTGATTCCTCCGTGTTCTGTGATGGAGTATGTGGTGTCAAGTTCTTTAGATATTATGCAATGGTACTGACTAGTAGTTATTTCTTGAGGTAAGTGATCTATATATTTTACATGGTGTATCAGGAATAGTCTATCTAGATTTCCATCCGCTATGACATTATATTGTTATATTACATTTCATTCATCTATTTCTTCTGTACATCCACTAAGATAAATTTATCACCCATTACTTTGTGTGTAGTGATGTGCCAGACATGGTTCAGGTATATAACTAGATCCTAGAAATAAATCCTGTGGTAGATAAATTAAAGAACAGTCGTGTGTGTAAGAGCAGGGAACAAGGCAGCTGTTGGTGGCAAGGCCAGACACTGTCGAACCCCTAAATTCATGACAGAAATTTTGGAATTACCTTGAAAACAGAGGAGAGCTGAGACATGATGAAATTTCTATCTCAAATTATAAATCCTTGATTCTGAAAGAGAAAAATACTCTGGAATAAAATCTAGCAAGAAGACAGAACCATATTTGAGATGTTGTCTATGTGAAATACCTGAGAAATAGTGGACAGTCAAATGAAGGTATTAATAACAGAGCTGAAGAATTGTGAATGTGTGTGAGCAGTGTTTCTCATATAATACCAGGAGGAATTTACTGTAACCTGGGTACAGTCTAGAGAAGGAGGAGGTACATGGGGAGGAAGAGAGAGATGCTAAGTGGCACTCCAAGGACCGTCTGGATGTACCATTCACAGAGACAAAGTAAAACCATAGCAACAGAATTATATTAGGAATAAAACTACAGAGTTTGCTGTAGCTTCTTTTTTTGTCATTTTCTCATATCAATTGTTTACAATGTGTCAGGCTTTGTCATTATTTGCCAGATTTCACCTTTTTATAGAATTAGGACCCTCTCTCACTTGTTTTAAAAGATTAAAAAAAAAAAGACAGAAAGGATTTAAAAATCTCCCATTGTTATATCAATTTTAATAAAATAATTATAACAAAAATATTCAACAAGTGAACACATTAGTATTTTATTTCACTGTTTGAATATTTTGATAGTTTATTTTTCAATATAATTTTTAAAATGTCTAAAATATAAGTCCACAATAAACTTAAGACATAAGTGCAAAACTTAGAAAAATTTCTAGTGAGTCCTATATCTTATCCAGTTCACTTTATATCAACAAAATATTATAGACCAAGTAACATAAATAACAGAATTTTATTTCTCTTGGTTCTGGAGGTTACAAATCAGGACTCTGATTCAGTCGACTTCCAAAGATTCTCTGCCAGGTTTCAGACTGTTGTTTCTGACAGGGCGATGGAACTCTCTGGGGCCCTTTTATTGAAATATTAATTCCATTTATAAGGGCCCTATTGATATTACCCAATCACTCACCAGAGGCCAAGCCTCCTGTTACTATCTCAATAGGGTTGAGATTTTAACATTTATATGAACTGATTTTCAGTTCATCACAGCTGAACATTGGTTACTACTATTATTATTTTGTTGTTGTTATTGTTGTTGTCAGTTGGAACCAAACTGAAGTACATATTTTCAGAGCTTACTCATTACTCAGATTCATTGTCTACCTGTCCTCTGATGGAGTCAGCATTCTGAGAGCTTGTCTTGAGTTGCCTCAAGAGACTGATGACCTAATATGACACATAAAATTATTTTGAAGTTTATGTCATGGAAGAATTTGTATTTTTGAGTTTTAAATTACAGAGAACATCACTGCCAATACTACTCAGTAGTTTAAATCTTATTAATATTAATTTTTAAAAATAGGCTTTAAAAAATAATAGTGATTCCTTGTTAGGGAAGGGTGAGGTGGGGCTTTTTCATGCAGCCTATGTGGGCCTTAAACTTGGTAAGAAGCTGAGGGTGGCCTCAAACTTCTGGTCCTTCTACCTCTGCTTCCCAAGGACTATGATTACAGACATATACCACCAAGCGTGGTTGTGATGGTTCTTTAATCCAACCCGAAGTCCACCATATGGAAGCTAGTTACATGTTGAATAAAAGTGATTCAGACAAAACTGAGCACACACAAAACAGACTAATAAGTATCAAATTTCTTCTGTTTATGGATGACCATAATTTCAATAATTTCATTGTCCTATTAAGTGTAAATCAAGAAGAACCAGTAGAAGAAGTCTTCAGTGACTGATGCAAATCTTCAAAGCACAAAATACTAATCTATGCAATCTGGAGCCTTTGGGAGTCTATATTTGGTTTTATTTTAGCATGTTTCCCACCTGACTTAAAGTATTGCCAGCATTCTGATGGACATTCACTTCTGCTGCACAATAAAGAGCACTATGACTATGAGTAGCTAGGGAACAGTTTTGATGCCCTGTGGATATGAGAGCAGTGATAATACTAGATTTTGAATTTTTACTGAAAAGAGTGTATTTGGATTGCTTTTTGGAATTTTGGGCCTTATTTTCATTGAAAAAAGAATACAAAACTTTGAATATGTGATTCATGTCATATTTTGATTTGTTCTTAATCGAGCACCTACGTTTCTACCAAACTCAGCTAGGAGGGAATGGAATGGGGGAGGAGATCAGGGAAAAGAAAGAAAAGAGCTCTCACCTTAAAGAAACTTCTGGTCTTAAGACAAAAAGACAGTAAAACATAATTAAAATGTTATTTTCAAAAATTGCTTTTATTTATTTTAATGTATATTGGTGTTTTGCTTGCATGTGGATCTGTATACCATGTGCATGCCTGGTACCTGAGGAGACCAAAAGAGGATATCAGATACCCTTGGACTGGTGTTACAGACAGATGTGAATTGCTCTGTGGGTGCTGGGAATCGAACCTGAGTCTTCTATAGAGCAGCCAATGCTCTTAGTCGATGAGCTGTCACTCTAGCCCCAAGATGTTAATTATTAATTACTCCAAGAAGAGTAGGCCTATGGGAAGCCTAAATGAGGTAACATAAAATCCTGCCCAGGAAGGAGGTTACATTAGGTGGATACTTCATTCCCAGAATTATTATAACACAGCTTATCAATTGACCTGTGTGAACTTGGAATGAATGGCTTCTGCTGAGACTGGACACTGTGCAGAGAAAGAAATACTGGCATTCACTTGGATTGACCAGATGAATGATGGCTAACCTTCTGATGTAGTCCCTTTCTTGTCTTATTGAAAAGTCATTTCAGAGACACAATGGTGGAAAAGATCAGGGACCAGGAATCTTCTCAATCCACCCCTACCCCAGTTCAGATGTTGTGCTTGACTGTTCACTAGCTTGCTGGGTGGAATCAATCACAGTGGAAGTTTCTTGGATCAGCAGTTTCCAAACTTGGCTGCAGGATGAAATAACTTCTGTAATTAAAAAAAAATACACAAGTGTATACACACCTCTGCTGGTTGGGCTCTGGACAGGATAGTTAAACCTGTTCCTGAGATGGCAAAAGGAAAGAGAGCTTTGTGGTGACTCTTGCTGCAGATGTAGACGTTGCTTGTCGTAGAGGAAAGGGTACTTCTGAGGTGGTGGAAGGGATGGTGACGCAAGCCAACAGCACCCTCCTGTGAAGGGCCACAGTCCCCACTGGCCTCCTTCTCAGCAGCGACGCAGTGGGAAGCTGGACTCAGGCCTGAGCGTGGGGAGCACACTACACAAGGTGCGCTCAAGGAGTGACATCTATTGTTTCTTGCACAGTGCAAGAGTGTGTTATTGATTTGGATTTTATTCATAGTAGCCTTGAAGAATTGCCATCAGTTTTTACACTTGCCTCTTTATGCCATGAAATTACACATTTTTTAAAAGATATCTTGTTCAGTTTCGGTTCCCAAGTCTAGCTGGTCTACTCCATGACATGTTCATCACTTTGTGATTCTTGCATAAATGTATTTCAGGATACAACACTGTCTTAGTTTACTGTCTGTTTCTTCGATAAAATACCATGACCAAAAGTAACTAGGAGAGGAAAAGGTTGATTTGGCTTCCAGGTTACAGTCCATCACTGAGGGAAGCCAAGGCGGGAACCCAGAAGAGGGAACTAAAGCAGAGACTATGCTGCCTTTCCATGGCTTGCTCAGCTTTCTTTCCTATAAAACCCAGGACCACGCTCCCAGAGGTCAGTGCCCACAGTAAGATGGGCCCTTCCACATCAATCAGCAGCCAAGAAAATAACCCACAGATAAGTCCACAGGCCAATGTGATGTAGTCAATTCCTTGATTGAAGATTCCTCTTTTCAAGAGACTTTAGTTTGTGTGAAGTTGACACAATCTAACCTTCACAACTGCTATTTCACTTGTCTGTTCTATAGACATCTGGTTAATTGGAAAACCTGCATAATTTCCTGGTTTTGAAAATAGATGATATCAAGGAATACTCTTCTGGGGGTTGGAGGGGTGGTTCAGTAATTAAGTGCATCTATGGCTTTTACACAGGACCCGAGTTCAGTTCTCAGCACTCAGATCTAGCAAGTCCAATCACCTATAACTCCAGCTTTAGGGAAGCTAATGCCCTCTTCTACCTTCTCAAGTTCAAGTAGCTGTACTCACATGTATATATCTACACATAGTTAAATGGAAAAACCACACACACAAATCTCTCTCTCTCTCTCTCTCTCTCTCTCTCTCCAGACATTTGCTTTTAAGAGCTAGAAACTCAGAAGTAATTGATCCAGAATCCTTTGTGGAGTGTCTACTCATTGGGAAAGAAAATACACTTCATCTCAACAGGGATGCTGTTACTCTATGAACTGTCCCTGCAACTATACCCTAGAAAAGAATAAACAAAATAATGTCTTTTCATGTATCATATATACTGTTTGTCCTCAATTTTATATCAAGTAGAAAATATGAGGTTAAAGCTGTTTAAAACATTCATGAAAAATAACAATTTCTGAAGTATCACCACATTAGGTATGGGAGGGTTTTAAATGCCATATTCATTAAAAATTTGATGAACTTAGTTTTATATTACCTGATATGCATCTTTTAAAAAGCTGTTTTGGTACCAAATCCAATACCAGGTACATTTTACTTCCTGGTGAACATTCCACACTCTCTCTACAGTAAAAGTTCTGGATCCAGGCAAGGACAAGTCTTTAGAGCACACATAAGGCAATAGCTTGTAATGCAGTTTGTTTGTCCAAGGAGTTCTTGGCTCTGTAGCAGTGGCAGTAACAGAAATGTGTCTGGAAGTCCCAAGCCCAGGGAGATATGGAAGAAAGACAATGAAAGAGCAGATGGATATCTTTACAGTGCAATGATTTCAGAGCCACACTTGGGGTCATGCCCATTTTTTCTAACAGAGATGTGACAAAGAGGACAGACAGGGGCTAGTGAGAAAAGCATCTATCTCGGTGGTTTAAAAAAAATCTTTTTAGATTATCGAAGATTCTAAAGATTAAAATGAATATGATTTTAATTGTTTAGTCATAGAATACAAAAACTTGGTAGCATTGCTTTATAGATAATATGTCACATTTAATGATAAATAACCTGGTTATCAAGGGTGTATTCAGCATAAAAAATGCATATTCTTATATTGTTATTTGTTCTCTTAGAAGCAAGATAAAAATCTACATTAAGACTGTTTGGGGGCTTTCTAAGGAGACTCTTGCCGTGTATCTTTCAGTATCTCTCTTTTGTTCTTGAATTGTTCATAATCATCCATCACTTCCTGTTTCTACAATACACTGATGTCACATGGGAGTACTGAGACAACTTTAGACTCTTGATCACTGGATTTTAAAGTTGTTAAAGTTATAAAAATATTGGTGTGTATTTTAGGAATCTCTAAATTGTGTTGAAAACCAAGTGACTCTGAATACTATCAATTGGGGTCTTCTAAAAATAAAAAATAAACAAAACAAACAACTAGAAGACACGTGAGATATGTGGATTTGGAGAAGGGCTAACAGTGTTAGGGTTAATAGCGAACATATATGCTAATGGTTGTATGTTAGATGAAAAGTATGTTGTATGATGCAGTATTAGATGTAGTTGTACTAGCTCAGGGTGGTGGATATCCACAGGGCAGACTTGTTTGCTGTGACAGAACATGTACAACCTAAGCAGTCTTATAGTAACAACTCAGTGGCATTGTGCACCTTCATGTTGTGTAACTGTCATTACCATTCATTTCTAGAACTGTTTATATCTTAAACTTGACTCCTGTTACCCCTTTCCACAGTCTTGGTAATACTATTCTATACTTTCTATGAATTTGATTCTTCCAGCTACCTTGTGTGAGTCAAATCATACAGTGGCTGCTTTTGTGCATGACATATTTCACTAGAATATTGCTCATGAAGATCATCCATGCTGTAGCAGAACTCCACCTTTTTTCAGGCGGCATGTGTACACCATGTTTTGTGTATCCATGTATCTGTTGATGGACACTTGGCTTGTTTCCAATTTTGACTACTGTGTGTAATGCTGCTGTGAACATTAGCGTACACATATCTGTTTTAGCCCATGCTTCCAATTCATTTTGGAATGTAGCTAGCAGTACCATTGCTGGCTCATATGGCAATTCTAAATTTAAGTTTTGAGGACTTGCCGTTCTGTCTTCCATAGCAGATGTATCATTTTACATTCCCATCAACAATTGCACAAGGGTCCCCAATTTTCCACACCCTCCCCAGCTCTTATTTTCAATATTGTTTGTTTTTTTATAACAGACATTTTAACCATATTCTTATCTGTAGTTCCCTATGGGAACAAGAAAAATACTATCATGTGCTTATTTACCATTGATTGTATCTTCTTTGGAGAAGTGTCTATTAACATTCTTCACTTATTTTCCATTTTCTTTTTGTTTTTTGTTACTGACTGATACTTGCTTCTATTTTGAAAGTTAATTCCTTACAAACTCTTTTGTTGGAAGCATTAACTTTTTACTCTCTTGTCATCATCCTTTGAAGGACTAAAGTCTTAAATTTTCATAGTCTAATTACTCTCTTCTGGTTGTCTATGGTTTTGCACTGGACCTGGGAAGCTTAATCATAATGCAGCAATATTTGAAAACAGTGCTGGTAAAGAAATGAGTGTGTGAATGCAATTTCTTGATCGCCAAATGCAATGCAAAGATAAAAAAAACCCATGTTTTCATATTCTAGAAATAATTTGATTGAAATAACTGGACATTTAGAAGAATTTTGAAATTTTATAGTGCAACAATTGACTTCTAAAATACAGTTGATATCAAGCTTTCCAGATTTAAACTCACTGAAGAATCTATTCTGTCTTTTTTGGGATTTTTGAGGCCAGACCTTAACAGCCTACACTGTTTTGGAAGTCTCTGTTCAGGCAAGGATGATCTCAAACTTTTTATTCTCCACTTCCCAAATGCTGAAATCACACGTACACATCATTGCATCATGTAATTCCATTTCGTCCCCCTCTAGATATGGAGGAGAACATGGCCTTCATAAAGTGAAATTAAATTCTCTTCACGCTACTGTAGAGAATACAGCAAGAGCAGACTTCAGGGCTCTAACCCTGGCTGCTTGACATTCCTACAAGATGTAGGAGAGGCTGGGGGTTTGATGATGGGAGGGTCATTGTCAGTGAATGCAGACCCAGTTTGAAGGCTGACCTTAACACCATGCTTGTTACGTTATTGTTTTCTTCTCCTAAAGCTGTAGGGTAAAATAGCCAGACTTCCATTTTCAGAACCAGGCAGAACCAGCAAGACAGTGCCAGTGTCCTGCCTTCGGCCATCAAATAAGGCAGTGCCATGGACACAGAGGATACCTGTGATCAGCTATTTGTTGCTTTGACCCCATGGGACATGAAATTCTTAAGACCACACAAAGAACAAAGTCTAGACTACTAAAATCCATTGGGGAGAGGAGTAACTTGAATTCTAGTCTTCCTTTTGGAACTGCTTCCATTTGCTAACAAACATAAAAGGTTCTGTCTAGAGATGGGAAGCCAGACACTCTTTGGTGGAATGCTGTACTTAGCCACCATTTCCATTTCATTGCTGAGGTGCTGGGGAAAGTTAAAATGAGGTAAGGCACACTGGGAATGCAGAGGATAAACTAGAGAGATGGTTAGCATAAAAAGTTAGAGTGTATCTGGGCAGTAGATGGGGGCAGGATACCTCTGCATTATGAGTGTGAATGAAGTGTGAAATGGGAGGCTGTGAATTGCCATTTCCTTAGGACATTGGTGAATGCTGGATAGAAAACTATGCAATTGCAGCTTTATTTCTCAATCATCGTAAATTCCAACATCGAGGAAGCTAGTGGTGTTTTGTATACTTAAGTTTGAAATTTTACTCTGTGCACATTAATCAATTAAGATTCTCTGTGTTAGATGCCATCTATTGCAAGAAGAGACTCCTCTGGTGAGGGTTTGGAGATAACATAGCTGTAAGTCATTAAAAGTCTTTTTACTATTATGTACATTTTAGCAGAATTCTAGTACTGGGAGAGGGAAAGTCAGCTTTCCTTTATGACAGGTCTCCTGGTAGGATGAAACACTCCAGGGAAGACCACACTCCCAAGAGTTATTGGGCACACAAACTAGATCAGATGGGGCAAGAAAAAAGAAGAGTGGGTGGGTAGGCAAGGAGGCTGTAGAGTATGCCTATGAGAGGAGTTAGGGAGAGAAGCATATGATCAAAATAAATTATATGATATTCTTAAAGAATTAATAAGATATTATTTAGAAAATTGAAATTTTCAAAGAAAATTTGGAAAGTTCCTTGGGTCACAGTGCTTCCAGACACAAACCAGCTCTGAGAACATGGGTTATATAACTTTCTTTGAACCCTGAGTTCCCATATATGGCCTGTAAGTTTTAGTTGAAATTCATTAAGAGTACGTTTTTAGGTCCTTGGCAAATGAAGAGTTCATAACTCTAGTTCTCTAGTGATGGCTATCAATCACATGTCAGAAACAAAACATCATCAAAGGCTGCAGGGAAGTTTTATAAAATATGTTTTCTCCATGTTCCTCTTTACATAGGCATTGATTCATTTTCATAACATCCTTTGGGCTGGTATGAGAAAATGAAACTAAGACAGAAAGGAGAGGAGAATGCATACACAGACAAGGGGGGGAAATGGACATTGGTTAGAACTGAAGGGTAGAGGCTGTGACGGGATGAATGAAAGCTAGATAAATGATTGTCCAAATACTCCCAGAGACAAACAGTTGGTACATGATTTGGTTTTGATACAACTGTAATGAATGCCGTTCTTCTCTATGGAGCAGCATGCTGGAGCTTTAGCACAGCGCTGCTTGGTGCCCAGTGGGCAGCAAGCGCCCAGTCGCCAGTGCCACTTTCTAGTGCATGTTCATCTGCAGGATACTAAACGGGCTGCCATCCTTTTGATGTTTATGAATACAAGTAGTTACGATATGACCCAGTGGATTTTGTTTCAGGGAAAAGAAAAATAGGAGATTAAAAAAGGGAGATGGTGTAAGAATCAAGGAACAAGGGGAGGAAGGGTAAGAGGATGGTGGGGACGTACAGGATCAGGGGAGAGGAGGGTGAGGATGTTCAGGATCAGGGGAGAGGAGGGTGGGGATGCACAGGATCAGGGGAGAGGAGGGTGGGGATGCACAGGATCAGGGGAGAGGAGGGTG